CTATCCCGTTCATACATACGCTCTACATCAGAGGGGAACGCGAGTGGCCAGAATTCCCTCCGGCGTACTTGCCGGGGTCGGGTCATATGTAATTTTTCTGGTAATGAATCTGGAAAAAGAAAGGGAAATGATTTTATCAGATGTTGGTTTTTATTGTTGCTTTTGGTGTTTTTTTAGTAGAGTTGTTATGGTGATGGTTATGGGTCTTTTAGTTACTATGGTAATTAAGGTTTTGTGTGTGTGAGTGTTTGTTTTTGAGGTTGTAAGAGAATGGAGATTGTATAATATACATATCTATGAGATACTTTTGTTTGATTATGTTATTGATGTGAAGTTCTTGTTTTATGTTTTGGGACTCCAAGTTCTTATGGCGGAGCACGGGGAGATTTTGAATCAATATGATAATGGGAATGGAAACCAGAAGCACGACTGGGTTATTTCAATTTTTTGTTCTGAAAATATAACTCTTTGTTATTTTATTTTTGTTTCTGATACATTTAATTATGAATGTCTGGTGAACACAGTATTAACACAATGCTTGAATATGTATGATGAAGTATTAACACAATGCTTGAATATGAATGTCTGGAAAATCTTATTTTTGTCTGGTGAACATAGTATAGGACGAAGGGATTTTGATTTTGGGTGGAAATTCTTGTTTAAAGCCACCTCATGCTATATTGGATATTATAATTAAAATTATTAAAGCCACCTCATATGACAGTTTACTTAAATCCTTTGAAGGTAGTTTACTTACTTACCTTACAACTTTGATGCTCACATGGTGTTATTTATTTATTAGACCCAAGTGGTCATATTAAATCATTTGAAGGTAGTTTACTTACTTACCTTACAACTTTGATGCTCACATGGTGTTATTTATTTATTAGACCCAAGTGGTCATATTAAATCATTTGAAGGTAGTTTACTTATTTACCTTACAACTTTGATGCTCACATGGTGTTATTTATTTATTCCAGGTACTCGAGGAGTGACGGCGGTTCAAATTGTTGGAGTTGGAGGAATTGGAAATGAATTTTTAATGTTTTTCTCATTAATCAGTTTTCTGGTTTGTGGTGTTTTTTGGTGCTTGCAGTTTATTGTGTTTNAAAATAAGAATTTATATTAATTGTTTGATAAAAAAATTAAATAACAAATAGAAAAGATGATATAGGATATTGTTTAGAGTTTTCTTCTAATTTGATCAGTAATTTGGATGATTTTGATTTGTAAAAAAAAATATTTATTTTAATGTTTAGATTCTTTCCATTAGTTTTTGTTCATTAATAATCATAGATTGAATAATTTATTTTAAAAAAAAAATCAAAACTGCAAGGTTTAATAATAATCCTTAAATAAAAAATATTGTGTAACGAAAAGTGTTTAATAATATATGTTTTTCATTGTTTTTATTTATTTTATTTCCATTAATGAGATGAGATGTGAAAAATATAAATAATATATTTAAAATAAAATCTAAAAAAAGTTTTAAAATATGAGTTTCTCCATGCATCACACGGGATATGCACTTGTATATAAACTGATAAAAAGAACAAGTAGGTATCCCGTGCGATGTACGGAGCAATAATTATAAGTTGCATGAATTAAAGTAACAAAGGATATTGATTAGTATAACATAATTTTGAATATTAATATTTTTTCTCTTATTCTATGGTATATAATATTTGGTATATGATTTATACACTCGTTATAAAATAGTTTTCATCTTAGAATTGTTGTTTATAATTAAGGATAATGAAAATTTTATATATTCAAACATTATCAATAAATAATACTTACACGATATTTCTCTATCTATCTTCTCTTACTCATACCTTAATATAATATATTAGTTCGATTTCTAAATAAGTTATGTTAAAGTTGATTTTTTTTTTCCCAAATATTAGAAACAACATTTAATTGAAAAGATGGTAATATATATTATTTTGAAGTTAAAAATATAATTAATTATTTGATAACGTTAATATTATTTTGTTTTTTCTATAATTTATAATAGCATAAATATTTTAATTTTTCTTTCTAATCTATTAATTTATATGAGATTTGTTATTATATTGTGAATCGCAATATGGATTTTTAAAAGCTGATTTGGTACAGTTATTGATAAAATCAAAGGATATTTTTGAACTCCCTGAACATATGAGTTTTGGTATATGGCTCGTTGCCAGATGAATAGAAAATCGTAGGATTTGTTATTAATGTTGAGTTATCAATTCTATTATAGTTTTGTAATAGTTATATTTTGCAATATAGTTCTAAATTTATTTTATACTTATATTTTGCAATGTTCTCACGCATCTTTCGGTCTACATATGTCTGGATGCCCAACAAAATAGGAGCGCATGATATGTTATTAAGAATAAAGATTGATTTGTTATTAAAGATAAATAATTAAATTTCTTTTGATATTGTGAAAAATTGAGTTTATAATTTTTGGAAAACTAGAGTGGTTGAGTTATTGATAAAACAAAAGATTCTAAATTAATCATCCTGATTATGATTATTTGAAGCTACGATAAAAAATATTTAGGTATATGGTTGGTTACCAATTGAATAATAAATCACCGTAATTTGTTATTAATGTTGATAAATAAGATTCTATTATAACATTGTGATAAATATCATAGTAAAATTTTCATAATTCATTTTCAGTTTTTATTTTGTAGTTATATTTTTAATTTTATCATGCATATAACATTTTATAAAAATGAAATCTATTTATAGACGCTTCTTTTAAGACATGTTGCATGGTTGATTAACAAAAGAATAAGAAATCGCAATGATTCGTAATTAATATGAAGAATCGGATTTTTATTGCAATAAGTATCACAAAATAATTTTTAAAATTCATACCACTTTATTTATATAGAGAGTCATGCTATTAACCTGATTACACGATTTACAACAGCTAGGTATAATTTGATTTAATTTTTTTATAAATATTAAAGTAATTTTTACTATATTTTCTTTAGTAGTAAGCCAACCTATTTAATTGCAAAGTCAAAGTTACTATTTTTCGATTATTCCATCAACCACTTTCAATATCTATGTATATATAAAAAGGTTTGATTATTTTTTAAATAGTAACTATTTCCCTAAAAAAAATTATTTACTATTTCGGTAAATTAATTTAACAATTTATGGTATGTTTCAAATGATCACATATGGTAATTGCAGCTCATTATTTAATGAAGTAATTAAACCATATTTTAAGATACCTTAATTACTCAAATCATGTAAATTAATTAATCTATATCTATATCTATATATAAATATAAAAAGGTTTGACATTTACCTGAAATAGCAACTGAAATTCCGCCTAAAAATTTCAGACTTACTAACTTAAGTAATTTTTTGAAAATTTTTCAAAAATCCCGCTCAAACATATTTTGAAAAATTTCAGTAAAAAAATTAAATTTTAATATTTAAAGAAAACATATTTAAATTTGGTATATCAAATCAAATGTTAAATGGACGATCAATTTTTTTTTTGGTATATGAAATCAAATTTTGGTATATCAAATCAAATCTTAATGGACCGAATAAGTGGAAACCAATTCTCACCATCTCAAATTTTCGGGAGAAAATTACCCCATGGACGAGCCTTATTTCTTTGTAATGCCTTATTGATACCCACAGTTCCACTAAGACGAATTTTATTGATACCAAATAAATTAACAATTTTATATTCCACAAACCATTTTATATTTCACAAATTAAAACACTCTTTTTTTTATAACAACACCCCGTAGGGATGGGGTTAAGGCCGAACCCCCAATCTGTATATAAAAGGCTCTAAATGGACTGAAAAGTCACATAACTACATCTCGATGTCTGAATAAACAACAATCCATATGAAAAATAACAAAACCAAAAAAAGTAAAAGAGAACAAAACAACATCCAAATAATCAACAAAACAACACTCTTTTTCTCCCTTATCTCTCCACCATTTCCTTTTCTTCTTCTTATCTGATTTCTTGGCATCACACAAAGATACACCGACCACCAAAAATAACAATTCAGATCGAATTCTTTTAATTTCTGATTCGCGAACGACCAACCTCGCCTCGTGCAATCAATTGACGAATTATGGCGGCGGCGACTTGGATATGGAGATCGACAACCGGCGACAACACGGGATGACGGAAGGTTTCATCATCCAACCCTAGATAATGAGGTGGCGATTGGAGCCGCAAACCTCCTCTCACCGCTTGCACCGTCCGCCGCCTCGAGGTGCGGATTTTGATTTAGGTTTAGCAAATTTTAAATTCCTTTTTTGGTTGTGGAGTTTTCGATCTTAAAATTATGAGTTGGTGGATTTATGATCTGAAAAATTGAAAATGGAATTTTAGGGGCACTTTAAGATAATTTATGAATTTAATAGTTGGATCCATCCCAAACTCTTTTGTTAACTATACTTTTATTTTTCAGATTTAATAGTTTAACTGCAAAAAATTCCAGCGGGACCTTCATTCACCTTCGGCGGCGGTACCTTCACATTTGACGGCGGATGAGTGTGCGTGCGACGAAAGAGGCGCGTGGAAAACGGACTGCCGCATTGTGCGGAATTGGATTCGCCGCCATGGTCTGTTCAAGTTAATCCGAAAGTTCTTTGATAACAGTTTGTGTTAATATGATGTTTATCTTGAGTTGATTTTTGTTAAATTATTTTTAAAAAAGTTATTTGAATGTATTTTGCAGAGGTTAATTGGATGTTTATTTATTGTATATTTTTGTCTTATATATGGTTTATATTCCGTTTATTTTTTCTGTGAAACTTTAAATTGAGTAATTGACGGATCAAAATGAAATACAAACCAATTCTCTAATTAGGTTTCCAAAAGAGAATAGGGCACCGCGGAGATCCATTGGGTTTTCTCCATGCTCGATGAACGGCGACGACAACATCAGCCGGGAGGAGCTCAGCAATTCGCTAGAGAACCTCGGGATGTGCGTGCCGGAGGAGAAGCTATAGACGATGATTGGGAAGATTGATGTCGATGTGGACATCCATTTGGACGCCAAGGAGTTCGGGGCCCTGTATGCGGTGATGATGGCAGACGCCGGAGGCGACAAGGGGGATGACGGTGAAGAGGACGTGCGGAAGGCGTTTACGGTTTTTTTCGATCGGGACATGGCGGGTTCATCACGACGGATGAGCTGAGGTCGTGACGGCAACGCTGAGGTTGAAGCAGGTGAAGATGCCGGAGGAGTACTGGCAACTTAGGTGGCGACGAGAGGGTCAACTTCAACGATTTTTGGCAGATGATGTAGTGCAGCGGGTTCGTCAGGGTAAATTTATTGTTTTTTATGATAATTTTTTTGTTTTGATGTGCAAATTGCAATTGCCATTTGGTTGGTGTAGTTAATGGATTTTCATTCTTGCCTCCATTTTTAATTAGACTGAGAAATAATTTATATTTTTGATCTGCAAATTGCTGCCATATGGGTTTCTGGAGAGGACTAAGGGCAGGGGTTTCGTGATAAAGTCGTTGGCCCCACAAAAAGCGGTGTTGGAACTTGCGGCGGTGGCCGGATTTGTGACCCACCGCGGTCGTAGCTCCATCCTGGAGGCTGTGACGTGCGGGATGTCAATGATCGGGTGGTCGATCTACGAGAAGTGTTTCATGGAGAGTATGGATCCGTGTCTGGTTCTGTCTCGGCAGATGTTTACGGGACATGGTGGTCATTGCTGGATATCCTATTGTCTACGGGACTGGTTCTATCTCGGCAGATGTTTACCAGAGTATGGATCCGCGTCTGAGCATCTTAACTCTCTCGCTTTCTTTCATATTTTTGTATCCAAACAATGAGTTCTATTGCTTTTCAAAATTTAAGTTAGCTGAAGAGTTTTTGTTTTTGGATGATGTATGTTATGTATTATATAACTCACGCTCATGCTTTATTGAATGATTGAGACATCCGAGAGTTGCTGTTGAGAACATCTATATATATTGAAAGAGAGAGGTAAAAAAATCAATTGTGGAAACTTCATAAAAAATCCCAGTCAACTCATTTTAAAGGAATATTTATGGAAACTGTTTAAAAAATCTATATATTTATGGAAATTGTTTAAAAAATCCAAAATTCTATTCATTTAAAAAATCCGAGTTGTTCATTTTAAAGGAAACAATCTGAATATTTAAAGAAAACAATCAGCACATTTTTTGGAAAAGATCACACGCAAGATCTCTCAATTGTTGGGGCTGGGGCTGAAAATTGCCATGGTTGGTGGCGAGTTGCAAGCTGCTTACTGGTTAAGCATGGGGAGGGCGAGCTGTGGGCTTTACGGCATGAACTGTTGTTGTTGTGTGAAGAAGGCTGTGTAAGGGCAGGTTATTGTTTTGCGCTGAAGGCTACTGTAACTGATGCACATGGTCGGAGAGGAGTCGTACATGGCAGTTGCTACTCTCGAATGTGGGCTGAGGGACAGAGTGCAGGTCCTGCTGCCGGTGGTCTGAGAGTCGGACGTTCGACTGAGTGGGTTGGAACGCGTGGGTTGGGCCGAAGTAGCTTGAATGGACAGACACCGGAAGTGAGTTGCTGGCCGAAATTCTATCTGGGCTGGTGGAGATGGATGAATTCGACACGGCTAGAAATTGGAATTTGCGGGAACCTTGAACATCTGGTCGCACCCCCGGAGAAGATGACTGAAGTTTCTGAGCACTGTAATTTTTTTCCAGGCGTGTTCTTCCATTGTCGGACGTGAGGGAACGGGGTGATGGAATATGGCTCGAATTTCATAAGGAAAGTTTGGATGCGCGTAGCCTATCAGATTTTCATAATTTTCACAAGGAACACGTGAATCGCGAGGTCGCCGGACATGGTTGTACGAGGTGGCAGTGTGCTATTCACGTGAGGAAGACGCCTAATTTTTTCTCGACGCGTGCTATTCATGTGTGCCCAGATTTTCAGCGAGTTTGTTGCATCAAAATGCGTCTTGAACAAGAAGACCGACAATTTTTCTCGCAGAATGTTTGGCCAAGTATTTCGTATATAGCAAGTTTTGATTGAATGAAAATTTACACATGTAAAGTCCTTAGAGTAATTGGAAAGATAATGTCCATAATTGAAAATATTTATTTATTTCCATGTTTATTGTCATTATCTATATCTATTACAATAAAATAGCAATAGAGATTTACTTTAAGTATAAAGTAAATTTTTGCCAAAAAATTGGATTTTATTACAATTTGTAACATTTTTCAAATTCTTTGAAAAATTGGCGGTTGATTTATAATTTGAATTTCAAATTCATTCAAATATTTAAAGAAAAATATGATAAACACATTTTTTTTAATACATTCCATTTTATCTTAACTTATATTGAATCACATATTCTTAACAAACATTAAGTTTGCTTATATATTTTTAAATTAATTACATCATTATAAATAATAATGACATTATACGACAATAAATTTTTAAATAAAATAATAGTGGAGTCAAAATATGCAAAATTATTATTTTTTCAATATTAAAAAATAAATATATTAAAATACTATCTATATATATTGAAAGAGGATGGTAAATAAATCATTTGTGAAAAGTTGATAAAAAGCTTGAGCCAAATCTTTTGACTTACCACATTTAGAAAATCAGTTCAAAGTTCAAATTTTGCATTTGTTGTACAGTTCATGCATGTAATAAATCTGTTTTGGAAATAAATCAAAATTTTCCTATTTTATTGGCATGTCTTTTGAAAGTAAATCTATTTTGGAAATTTAAATATATTTGTGACTGAAATTTTTATTTGAAATGAATTCTGGCATATTATAATGCTTAGAGATTTAATTTTATGTTTATCGAGAATTCACAACTGTCTTTCTTAATTTTTTTTTTAAAATCAATATTCATTCTCGATTAAGAAAAATGTATATAATTTTTTTAAATCTCACTTTTTATGAAGACATTATATAAAAATCTAATTTTAATAGAAATATTATTTATTTAATATCTATATATGATTTTGCTAATCGAAAATTGCATTGAAATATTATTTAGAAAAATTGTCCTAATTAATAATTCCTCCCATTTATGTAATTAATATATATATGTAGTTTCTGGTTTAATTAAATAATTTTGAATCTTTTAAAATATGATTTTAAATGTGTAGGGTCCTAAATATGCATATGTATAATTAACTATGTAAAGTTACGGGAAATACATTAAAATGATTTAACTAATAAACAATGTGCATATCGAGTCTTAAAATATCTATAGCATATCAAATGCTTTTTTTAACTAATCTAATAATGGATATAAATCATCCGTGCAAATGACCTATATAGTATAGGAAATTTATATTCACTTATACAAATGAATGTTATACTCATTTGATATCAGATGTTCTAAAAAATTGAGCAGATATACACTAAATTCATCCCGGGTGATCGAGTTATGGGTCAGTGACACAACTGAGGTTGATCCTGAGTGTCCAAATTATGAGTCAGTTTGACCAGACCAAATCGATTATTGAACTAAATATAATTTTTAATATTAAAAATACATTATTAAAGTAAATGTAATGTAGTTCATACTCTAAACAATCATATTAAGAATGCTTTTGTGACAACGTGTTTAGGGAATTATGAATAGTTATATTTATCTTATTGATATTTATGTGAACAAAATGATGTTGCATTGCAACTTTATTAATGTACGTTAAATTTAAAGTTCTCAGGAGAGGTCTGTTTTCAAAACTTATTCAATGATTTATTAGTTGCATCAGAATTTAAATTATTAATATTTTAATATACATATAGTACTTTTTATAATAAATTTATTATATGAACAATTTAAAATTTTTCAATGTTTAACTAAATGATAAATAATTTATAAATGTCCACTTTATTTAAATATGTATTTTTACTTATATTGAAATAGTCTTAAATGTAACAAACTTTATTTGAAAAATCGTGCCGTTACTACCAGTCTGACCGACCGGCGTTGATCGGTTCTCTAGCAAACATTTTATTCAAGCGATATATATTTATTTGGTATATATTTATTGTACAACATTTATTTCATGATATATACATGCAATGTTTTACAAGATCAACACGTACTGTTAATGTGCAAGGAACCATTCTACTTGATAAATGTCGTAATTTGCAGCCATATCAATATACACCATATACTTATGAAACAATGACGTTATGGTTTCTTACGCAATGACGGTAAACAAGAGTCAGGGACAATCGTTATCCCAAACCAAAAACGTTGTGTCCAAGAAAGCATTCAATAATTTATAATTTTTTGTACCTTATTTGCAATCCATTTATTTTTGTTACATATATATAAATTATATTAATTTTAATATTTCACAAGTTAAACATTTCAGAAAAATATATCATCCCATGCATCGCACGGGTTACACGCTAGTGTCTTCAAAATTGGTTGGTCAAATAATTGCATCTCTTTTTAGTTGCATTTGCTCCATCTACTGTCTGCCCATCTATCAAACTAGATTCTAACACTATACGGCAAATAAATAGTTTTTGGCTAACTATATATATCTCCCATCGTGAGCCAATGGTTTTGCTCCTCTTTTATTTCACTTTTTGTTTAACGTTATTATTTTCTAAGTCAGTTGTTTGACTTTATTCAAAAAACATTTTCCAAATCATACATGTTTATCTCAAGTGTAGGAAACTCGCGAGCATGAATGCCGCACGCTATGACCTTGCGTGTGCTGAGATGGATTAGAAGGTGGTCGAGCTTCACGACTGGAAACTCGCGGTCAGTGGACGTGTACTGCCCCGGAACCTGTGCATGGCTGATGAAGAAGGGTGCATCATGGTCATAGCTCACTTATCAGATGAGTGATCATGATTAACTCAAACTTTTGAGAAGGGGAAAATGCAATGGTGTATTGTATTGCTATAGTTTATACATTGCTTTTTTCTTCGTAATCTTACCGAAACTGTTCGTAATCCAATTGCACCGCTTGATTAAAGACGTAGAAGATAATGAAGAAGCTGAGCAAGTTCTTTGCAACCTAATTGGATCTTTTTATTTTTATTTTCAGATTTTTGGAAATTAAGTTGTTTTCATTAACATTTGGCATCTCTTATTCCTTGGAGTTAATTTTGATTCTTGGGTCTGTTTTTGACATATACTTGCTTGGAATCCTAAAGAAAATAAATAATGAGTTAATGTAGTATACTTAGAACAGGACAATATGTGAAGTTGCAAGAGTTTTATAAGCCAGAATTTGATAATGACAAATAAATAATTAATAATAAAAAAAAAACTTAAAATGGTATCAAAGTGTGTCTCTGTTCGCTAATTGTTGTATTTATTTTTACCGTAGTAGAATCGAAAGATTCGAACACCGGGTCGTGTCTCACGAGGAAGGTCACCCGGAATATTCTGTATGTTTATTCAAGCACTAATAAAAGACATAAATTTCCTAAACATTCTAATTCAAAAGATTGGTTTGATTATCAACTACGAAAAACTTCAATTAAAGCAAATATAAATAGCAAGCAATCAACGAAGAACAAGTAGGATTTAAGGAGCTAGGGAGTCAGGGATATCCGTTTTGGTTCGAAAGTGCAATCATCAACCAAAAGATTGTTCGGTTAAGTGATTTGGCTAATCGACACGTTCAAGCACTCATTCTCAATAACTTTTCGTAACAAGAGAACAAACTAGAACGGCAAATTAACAATTCATTTAACTCCTAGGCAGTACAGTTACGAACAAGCCTAGTTCATACGAGCCTATTTCGACCGACTCCTCCCCTTTCGGTTCTAAGAGTCGATTAAAGTAGACTAGAGGGTGGTTAATCGACTAGTCCGTTAAGAGTTAAAAACATCAAGCACGAATTTATCAAATTCAATCCAAACAATTGCAAGTTGAAGTGCCACTCTTCAACAATTCTCAAAACTCAAGCTAAAAATTGAAAAACCCTAATAAAAGATTAGCTCGTATGAATTTGAACAACCTGAGCCCGACAATCACAAACGATATCAAAACATCAATCCCCTATCCCTAGCGTATGGATTTAGCCAATCATAATCGACTCAACACCAACAATCTCAACAATCAAGACAAACATATTCATAGATTAAATGAAAAGAAAATCTTACGAGTTATGAAATCCCAAGGTTGAATACAATAAACAAGCTTAATCCGAAAGCAATAGTGAAATCCGAGTTCAAATTCGTGTTCTACGATGAAAAATATGAAAGGAAGATGAAAAAACGAGAGAAAAGAGACGAGAGAATATCAAAACCTAGAAGGAAGATAATGAAAAACTGATAAAAAATCCGAAATAAAAATCCTGCTCGTCGCGACCTCCGCGGCCGCGACTACTCCTCCGCGGCCGCGGTGAAGGAAGGTCCGCGACCATGACGATGGCCGAGGCCGCGACATCTTCATGGCAGAAATGGGACTGTCGGGAACTTCGCGGCCGCGACCTCACCTCCGCGGCCGCGATGAAGGATTTCCTGCACAGCCAAAAAACGTTCTCGGGTTCGTTTGAGCTCGTTTCAGCTCGGAATTTGATTCCGCTTTTTCCTTTGTGTTCCCAACGAACTCCTTTATTTGATTAGGCTTGCCCAGCTAGTATTTTTCCGAACTCCTGTTCTCCTGAGACTTCCGACCTACACACCATAAGCAAATAAAAATCGAAAAAATACACGAAAAACACACGAAAGACTAAAATAGAGCGAACCACGAAATAAACTACAAAACGAACTA